TACTCAACTACATATTTAAATAAATAAGTAGAAATAATGATGTAGGAATATTTTTCATGGATTTGTATTTTCATCTTTTTCAGAGCGCTCAAAATGAACCTGTTGACTCAAGAAATGGTTGATGTTTACGACCCAGCTCTTATGTTTACTATCCCCCGACTTGCTATCGTCTCTGGACTTCTCATATTCCCTGATGGACCACTTTGTTTGGATAGAACGCCTGCTCATATGTCAGAAATGTTTAGGCCATTTAGGGTGAGTTAAGACACATTTATCTACTGCAGTCGAACATTTTGAAAATAATGAACTTTCTTTTGCCAAAGGAGACGTGTTGTAAACTTACAGAATTGCACCAAGTAATGACTTATAATTGTATTGCCAATTCCAGACTCTGCTCTTTAAAATAAGGGAGCTATTATGGACATTAACGCCTAAAGAGTTGTATACGCTAGAAAAGATGTTATGCTCCTCTGAGGATCCAGTACCGTCCCCGTCGGCCTCCAGCATACTCCTGTCAAACAATGACGAGCCTGTGCCTACTGCAAGCTGTTATCCCAGCGTACCACACCTTGAGGAATTCGTGTCACGTTTTTATTCTGATCACCCAGGCTGCAAACAGTTTGTCACAGACTTTTTCAACACGGCACCAGCCTCAGCGACTCGAACGCCTAACGCACAGAGGTAAGTTCTCCCAGTGCTCTCGGACGTGGTGTCCTACTACCCAAGATAGTGTGATGGTTTGGTTACCCTCTTTGTTATCGACGCTCATGACTACTTCCGTTACAGCAACGTGCAGAGCGACAATGCCTGGGAAAGTGGCACGAGTTCCGACGAAGGGGATGAGGAGACTGAGTGCGAAACAGTCAGGGAGAACACCTTGAAGCGTGCAGAGAGCTCTGACAGCACCACGAAGTATGGTGACAGTGAAAGTGACACGAGCGAGTATCAGTCACCCCAGTTGTCGGTTTCTGATTCCGAGAGCCCGGAGTCGCGCGAGGAGGCTGGGAACAGGTGCTACTGCCAGGCGCAGGCTGCGCAGGCGAGCCCCAGCTCGAGCGGCCACCAGTGCGCACTGGGGCACAACCTGCTGAGCTTCCCCGGCGAGTGTGCCGAGTGCAACACGCTGTCGACGGCGGCCGCGGGCACGGACAGCATCCCCATCCCGGGGAGCGGCTACCTCCTGGCCAACCAGGTCGGCGTCGAGGCCATGATGGGGTCGGGGCACGCCGAGCGGGCGGCGTCGAGGGCGGCGTCGAGGGCCGAGGGACTGGAGGACGGCATGGAGAGGCTGGGGCTCGAGGGCCTCGGGGCCGCCGGGGAGTCGCTGCCGGACGGCGACGCCCGCGAAGCCATGCTCCTTGCCACCGCCACCCTCTCGACGCTGCTGAGCGGGACCGTGCGCGCGGCGCAGAGCCCCCTGGACTCGGGCCTCGGTGCCCTGACGAGCGGCAGCAGTGGCAGCAGTGGCAGCAGCGGCAGCGATGATGCGGATGCAGCGAGTCTGTCGGACACGGCCCCGGGGCACAGCCAGGGCCGCGCCGAGCCTCCGGACCACTGGCAGGTCCACTCCATACCTTGCAGTTCTGTGATATCGAGCGTAAAAGAGGACCAAACATCACAAAGCGAGACGAGCACTGAAGTTGTCAACGACCAAGACGGGATGTGGCAATCCTGGAACTCTTCCCAGCCCGGCTCGTCCACCCTAGTCCATTCTTCTTTTTTCCCTGTATCAGTCGTTCCTTCCAAAGAGTATGTGCACGAGGACTCAGATTCTGTGACAAGCCTTGAAATCTCGTTGACAGATTCAAATAACTGTGATGTTTTAATATCGGATGAGACTCGCAGCTCAGAAGTTCCGATTCCTACATGTGTTCCCATTAGAAATTTGCTTCAACAAGTATCAAGTGCAGATCAATCTGATCATGGCAAAATTAAGTTAAGTGTTGTAAGGTCTGGTGGGGGAGATGGTAGAGATGATGAGTGGCTCGGAATAGCACAAGGAGAAGGCCAGATTGCAATTTGCTCAAGTAATGTAAGCCGTGAAAGTGCTGAAGGATCAGGGCTTTATGAGCAATATGCGAGTAACTGGGACTCTCTAACTCTGAATCAAGATGGAAACCAACACAACACTCTAGCTATTGTTGATCCTGCTGTCAGACCTACCTGGCAAAGGTAAAGTTTTTAGTTTAGTTCTGACATTCTGTTGTCTTGCAGTAGTTGAAATATTAATGGTTTCATATCTTCCTCCTCCAAAATATAGTTTGGACAACTCATCTGTGAAGAGCAGGCTTTCACAACCTAGTCCTCAACCTCCTCAGCAGTCGCCTCAGTCAAGACGAGGAGACCCTTGTTCAATAAGCGTGCCTTGTTCAGGAGTCAGGTAAATTTCGCCACTAAACTAACTTGATTCTAAAGGTTTTTGTTGTTGTTGTTGTTGTTGTTGTTATTGGTTAGTTTAACCATGGCAGTTATATTTATTATTTTTGTTTTTCTCCAATAGGAACCAAGGACCTGCTGTAGTATCTGGCAGTTATTCATCAAGTTCTAGTATGACTGTATCTGAGAGGTTTGTGATCACACACAATATTATGTTTTTCTTTGTATCTATTAACTCTTTAAGCAACAATTCTAATTACTCATTTCTTCTTTTCAGTGGAAGTAGCATAAGCAGTGAAACATCATCATTCAATTCGGAATGTCAAGATGATGAGGAAATTGCCCTTGCCATGCAAGCAGCTGAAATAGCTAACCGTAATGAAGCAAGGTCTAAGTTCAGGTAACAATGCCTTTAATATCATAGCTCAGAGTCTTTCATGACACCACTTCAGTCTAACCTATTATATACTTTCTTTCATAGGTCTAGTGAAGATTTAGTGCATCGGTTGTTCCTATGTGTTGCTGGTGTAGCTGACCAGCTTCAGACAAACTTTGCAGGAGATTTGCGCAATGTGTTAAAATGTGTGTTCCAAATGAGTGCTTCTTACAGCACCGAAGAAGACAAACCAGAAGATAGTGATGAGGATGAAACAGGTATAATTTTCTTTACTTACATTGGTATTAATTAAATTTATTTGCTGTTTCATATACGTTTTTTCACAAATTGTCTTTCCTTTTTTTTTCTGTCTATCCTTAGATCCATCAAGGATTATTGAAAGAGGTGAAGATGCTCTTCTACCAGGATGGGAGAGAAATTCCATTGATAATCAAGAAGAGGAATCTATTCCTTATAACAATGATACTAGTAGTGTGGATAACAGTTCTGACACTCCTATCGAATCACAGGATTATACACCTGATTTCCATTCAATGCATGACCAAGTTCCTATTGATTCGGAACTAAGGTGCACTTGCTGTGATCCTAGAACTGTTGGTGATATGGGACAAAGTGCGGAAATCGATGTAGATGTAAATGTGCGTGTGGACGTGGAACAAGAACTCCCACATATTTCAGAGTCAGAACCCCCGCCCCCTTGGGTTCCAGATGAGCTCGCACCACGATGCATGTCTTGTGAATCAGCATTTACTGTTGTGAGGCGCAGGCACCATTGTCGAAATTGTGGGAAGGTAAAGAACCATAAATAACAACCCATTTTGCTACCTTTTCTCTACTATTTTCATCTAACTAAATATTTACTTTATTACTTTTCAGGTATTTTGTGCTCGCTGCAGCTCAAACTTTGTACCCCTCCCCAGATTTGGACATGTGAAGCCAGTTCGTGTTTGTAATCGCTGCTTTCTTTACCAAGTAACCCCTTTTACTCTCCGAGCAGCCCTGTAAGCAAATTGAAGTTGGTAATTTAAATTATTATTTTCTTTGACAAACCCAAATTTGAGTACTTTTATCTCACTGATGTTGACTAATACGTAGCTTGGCTGAAGCCTCTTAGTTATTTGTAGTATAAGTTTTAATCAAGTTAGGTAACTCAATCGCTGAATATTTTCATTTATTTTCTGTAAATCCTATCCTGAGATAAGAGTCTTATTGACTTGTTATCGCAGAGGGATGTTGTCATTCAGAAAGAAACAGATCCTACCACTGTGAAGACTATTTTATTAATTTCCGTCCTTGGGGATCTGTACACATTTCACATTTTGTAACAATTCAGTTTGCCCTAGAGATTATTTCTTACTTGTTTGTTACTACTCATATCATGATACACCACATGTGGCGTGGCAGTTACTTTTCCTTTTTTCAGACTTCATGCAGATCTAGTCTGCCTTGACCAAATCTCCGCTGCTTTGGGGTTGTTCAAAAATATTTTATGTTTTGATCTTTTTAGTTAACAAGGTTCTTACTGAGTCCTAGCCCATTAAAGGATGCCACTAAGTTGCCATGTTGAAAATGACGTTATGGAAACTGAACAGAGCAGTTTCATTTGTAATTACTGAAACTGAACATTTCCCTTAGAGCTCATTCTGTACAAGAATCTTACTATTAGTGTACATAATAGCTCTTTTCATATAATTTGACAATACTTGAGCAGTTTTTTTGTACCTTTATTTTGTAGCCTGAAAATTACTTTTCTTTTAAACTACAGGGTCTTTTTCACAACATGTGTTTATGTAAATTAGAAGTTGTGTCATTCACATGCCTTTCTACCATAGTTGTGTCAATTTTTGTGAAGTTTTGGGAAATGTGTACTGATATGTAGTTTATTTAAGACTAATTTTGACTTACGAGTGTTCATAAATTCACAAATTGACATTTTGTCATAAGCGTTGTATGAATTTTCCTAGTAGATAAAGAACAAACTGTGATATAGTAGAAACTTAAAGTTAGTAGTTTTGGAAGGCATAAGCTTAAAGAATAGGTGTTAAGTGAGTGAGTGTTGGCTAATTTTGTCATATGTATGTTCACATTATAATCATTATTCCATTGTGAATTTTTGGAAAAGACCTTCAAGCTTGTGTTAGCTTGAGAGTAACTCACCCACTTGTTGAACAGCATCCTGCTTTGTTGCATTTTGTTATCGCTAAGACATTATTTTTTTACCAATATTGTGTGATGTGGTTTTAATAATAAATAACTGTACTTCATAGACTGGGGTGATACACCATGGAAATGAAGAATGAGGAGTTTCCCTCAAATTCTAAACTTGACATCACTATAGTTGTGGTACAAAACTTTATAAAACACATTTTCTTTGTTCCCTTTCAAAACCATTACAGAATATGAAATGCAAAAAACAAGTTTGAGGTCCTCCTCTTGATCTATTTGAATGGCATGTATAACAGGTCTTGTAACAGGTAATCGCCCTTAAAACAGAATTTAATGTGTGAGTGTGTCTTGTCATTTTGTTTTTCCTCATAATTATTACCTAACTTGCACTGTCAGTAGGGCCATACTTGTGATTTTCATTTTTAATTCCTCTTGGCAAAGTCTTTTAAAACTACATTCTGTGTTATGAAATTAGCAGTTTTTGGTTCCTATGTACCTTTATGGCCAATATTTCAGGAAAATGGTCAAAACAATAAGAAAAGAAGAACCAATTGTGTTTTGAATGTATTGATCTCTAGTTTAATTGTGTCAATTGAGAAAAGGGCTGTCAGCAGAACCCTCTAGACTTTAAAAATTTTGATCTAATATTACTGTTATTTTACCAGAGGTTATCCGTCAATTATGATAAACTATCTAATGAAAATTTTGCTCAATGTGAAGTAACATGGTCTTTTCAAGTAAGTTGATTGCTGTATTTTGATAACTTGTACCTTTGTTTTTGATGCACAGCAAGTTTGCACACATTCCCTAAGCATACTGTTTCTTGGATCTTGATTGCATATTTTAACAGTTTTTCGTATAATAGTAAAAGTACCTCACAGCATTACCTTGCATTTATGGGGATTGACTCTAGTTGTTTTAGCCAACATTGTGTTCAAATGAGTACTTTGACATAATTTTCTTTTTCAAATTTGGACTTGTTTAACTTACTACAGCCGTCTTTCTTGACAAAGCTATTTTTCTTTAAAAACTTCAAATTACATAATAAAAAGGCATCAATATTGTCTGAAATGAACTGTGGTTCTTAAATATAGGTACAGTGTGTGTATATATATATTTCTATCCAACTCATTGTGATTTTGGCAATAATTGTTCAATTTGTAAGTACTGACCAATAACTAAAAAAGGAGCCAAAAGGTATTAGGTTAATTACCTATGTCCAAATCAACACACTGATAATGGTCGCAGAAGCAATTTAAATTGTCAATCCTGTTCGAATTTAAATTAAATTTCATTGTAACATACCTTGAAATAATTGTGTCCCATTTTATGAAAGAAGTGTCCCAAAGTCACACCAAATTAAATGAGTTGACAGTTCGAATAAGTTTTAGCCAATTGCCAATCACTGTTATCTAATGACACAGCAAGGAACAGCTAGCTAGTATATTTTTGTAGACAGGAATAAAATAAAGCTTAAGACCGCTAGTTCTGGGCAAATGTATAATGTTTTAAAGTCATATTAGGCCCCTGTTTGCTAAGTTTTTGACAGTGGTTAACAGAGCATTGCAAAAAGGCCTCCTCTGACCGACCGAGCTGACCGATACGCGGCCAGAGCTGGACCTACGCTGACCGAGGCGCGGTCAGCGGTGACCGCTCACGAGCCGCTTGAAGGTGAGAGGTGAGGAGAGGAGGCAGGGAGGAATCGGCCCTCCTCACCTCTCACCTGCAACCTGCAAGCGGCTCGTGAGCGGTCACCGCTGACCGCGCCTCGGTCAGCGTAGGTCCAGCTCTGGCCGCGTATCGGTCAGCTCGGTCGGTCAAAGAAGGCCTTCTTGCAATGCTCTGGTGGTTAACACATCCAAATC